GGAAAGGGGGCTCCCCTGCCACAGTCACCATATAAAGACACCTGTAACTGTATCAGTGTTTGGAGACAGTAAGATTTTACTTTATTAACTTAAAAACATACTCTTTTAAAAGCTCCTTTACAGAAATAATTGAGCATCACCAACTTCAGGCAAAGGCTACTACCTTACACATGCACCTGAGATTTATGCCTGCATTTCAGATGAAACAATACTGCCTTAAACACAAAATACTGCTCACTAGATTATTACATTAAAAGAAGTTGAATGATTTTTAAATTGCAGAAGATTATTGTTCATTCAGACCTCGTTCCTGCTTGAGACAAGCCACAGAATTTTTCCCAGTAATTTCTAGCTCAAATTTAAAACTTTTGTTTGTGTTAAAGCTCATCTTTTAGAAAAAGATGGTTTCAATTAAAAGTTTGGAATAAAATTCTGTTGTTTAATTCAGGGTAAAACTCATGCATTCTTTTCTTCCACTAATTTGTAGAGCCATGCTATTCAACTAATAGAACTTAGCAAGCCTTTACTACTCAATTACTGCCATCAATAACTTCTTATACATGCAGGTACTTCTGATACGTGAACTTCTGACATCTTCCCTTGTTCCTTATGAAAGTAAATAGCTGAATCCTTTGATAGGTTCCAATTATACGGTAAATTGTCCAGTTATTAAAATTGATCTTAAAAAACTAAAGAAGGCACATTTTACCCTGTGTAGCATGAAACTGTGGTGTTATTTTTGCCAGATTAAAACAGGAAGAATCGAAGTGTGATACTGACATAAATTACTTAACATGTACTTATTAGTGGAAAAGCATACAGAAAGCATTTCTTCCTAGCCCAAGCTGCTGACTCATGAACCACTTCATCTTTACACTCATGCATGAAGCACATTCACTCCTAAGCTTCCTCTTCAAGCTGCTCCCTGTGACAGAAGCCCTTCCTGTTTGGAGGAGCCACACCCTTTCAGGCACATACAGCATCTCTATTATAACAACCACAAATTACACACATCTAAGACTGTTACATTTTGTCTGTAAATGCAGCTTTCCCACTCTGGGACTTAGGTGGGTCTCATCAGCAACCAGACTGAAGGAGGTCATTATGTATTTTTGCATTTAGAGATTAATTTTTGCTATTACCACATGGATGATTTTTTAAAAATAATGGTGGCAATGTTTGCATTTCCTCACGATCTTCTCCTGAAACATAGTAGCCAACTGCAGTCAAGATATTAAAGAAAGCATCTCTACAAAAAACTTCAGACAAAAACACTCAAATTTTCATCACATTCTATTAATTCAGTTTATTATTTATGATGTCTTCCAAAGATGCAAGATCAGGAAAGGAACGCTGCATTTATCTCCAGCTTGTTGTATTTCAAAGAACAGAAGGTGATACAGAAACCAAAACTCTTCTCTTGACCCTTTAGCAGCACGTAAGCTACTATCACGGCTACTAGGAATGGGAGCGGCTTCATAGCTCTTATGTGTATCTATCAAATAAAAGACCACGATGACAAACATTTTCATTAATTTTTCACTTACACTAGGACAATCTCTTACAGTTAACATACACATTTAGCAGAACAGGTTTGCTAGACTTCAAAGGTAAAAGCACTGCATCCCACACGATATTGCAAGTTTCATCTCAAGCTCATAAGCACCCCCATATCAATTAGCTCCACAATAATTCTGTTGTTACTGGCAATCTCTGGTAAGTAACAGGCACAACTCCCAATAAATACTTTCCTCAAGGTAAATGCCCCTCCACTATTCCCCCTGGTTCTTTTATCACTTTCTCTCTTCAAGAACCTGGAATGAACTTGAGATTGCTTCCCTTTCCTGTTCTAGTCTTAACTAGACATTTTTTAGCTGTTCCTTATTCCTGAAAGGAATAGCATATACAAATCTTGCCCCCACCCCTTCAGATCAGTCTTAAAGGCTTGGTTTTATAGCAGAGGCTTTAAACACTAATTCATGCCAGTCAAAAGCCTTCTCTATCACACTGTTGTATGTCCAGCAAGAAAAAAATTACCATGATGATACCAGTGATGGAAAAAATAATTTTCTTTAAAGACTCTGGTAAGTGGTTTATCTTTTCAACTTCTTGTGTGGCTCAAAATACCTTGCTAGTACCAGATGATAAAGTGAATAAATAATACCTTAGCCAGAATTAAGAAGAAAACATTCATTTGAGGACACAACATTAGCTCTCCACCAACAGTTTAAAAGTGTACAGAAGGAAAAACATGAATAACAACTCATAAAATTTTCAGCTGCTTAACATGAACAGAACCTGAAGGTTATCTTGGTTTCAGATTAACAGGCCTGAAAAAAAATATGTTAAATACTTAGCATATTGAAATGAATCACAAAAGCCACAATAACACAATAGATATAGCACTGCCAGATAAAACCAGTGGATCATCTGCCATAGACAAAATTAAAATGGAAATATTTAAAGGAAATGCAGGAGAAGCAGTTTGAAACACTAGACAAAATGTGAACAAAATGTCAACGTAGACACTGGTAAGGACAAGTAGTAACTGTTTCAATGGAAAATTGACCTAGAGAAAATATTTAGCTTGTGGTGACACAGTCTTACAAAATTTTTGCTAAAACAACTTGGAAAAAGTGGGTAAAGGTTTAGAGTCTAATGAAACACTCACTCAGAACAGTCTAGGCAAAGAGTGACATATTTTTGGCATGCCGTCACCTCAAGAAGCTGCTGCAAGACTGAGCTGTTTCCTCTAACAGAACACATTAAATCTCTCAGCATCATACTGAGTAAGTAGCGTGTGAAATCAGGGAAGTATGTGAAGGCAGTCTACAATTAAATATTATCCTATTATTCCTGTGACTTGGGGGGAAGGGAGCAAGAGAAAGAATCATCTATAAGTAGAGGAGGTAACTTTCTGATTGCTACTGGAAGGACTTCTAAAAGTAAAGAGGAAGACTTTGGCAATGGATGCCAACAGCTAATGCAAAACAAAAATGTTTTGGAGAGGAGTCAGAGATGGCATTACTGTGTAGGAGGCTTTGTTAGTAACCTGGGATGCTTACAAGTCAAAAAAGACCACTAATAAAACCCCAATTAAGCTTTTCTAGGAGTAGGCACAGAAAGTCAACTGAACACAGTCAGAAAGGGTTATACAGTATGTGCAAGTATGAAGAGACTGAAACAGCAGTAAAGTAGCAACAATTTAATTTCAAGCACCTCTACCTTTATTCAAATTGATCATATTTTTGGACAGTTGACTGAACTAGCCTGAAGGAAATGGCTTGTATTTGATCCTCTGCCACTCCTCCAGCCTGTCTTCAGTAAAAATCCTCCAATTCCAGTAACAGAAACCCTGTGTGTTGTGTGAAAACTTAAATGCCTTCATATTATTATTTTCATGAATAAAATAATATATAAGAAAGATAAAAAAATATGTCTAAGAATATTCAGTTCAGTGGACACAGTGTATTATGCAGGTTATTAACACTGACAAAGCATGTTACCAGTTTTTCTTTTATTGATAAAGGTAACAACTTGCTGCAAGGAAATATTAGGTATGCAAAACAACATCAGTATGGAAAAGCTTGAAAAATAATTTATTTACATACTGAATTATGTATGTAAATTGCATACCAGTCCTCATAAAGAAAATCAAATTCTGACATCTTTGCTATCACAGATGCTCATGCCAATAGTGAGATGCAAAGAAGGTACTAAGATATACAACTGCCTACTTCCTCCATAGCTCAAAAGCTAAATGCAGGTATCAGGACATGTATTAGAGATGTAAAGGACCTTCTTTTGCATGCCAATTGCCCTGAGTAAGGCTCCACAGTGTGTAGAAAAATACCAATATTGCCAATAGCAACACAACAATTAAAGATTCCTTCCTACATTATTGTTTAATTGTTATTTTTAGGATGGTTAAATAAGAACCTAAATTAGTTTCTTTAATTTCTGTAAAACTCATAAAAGCCTCCAATAACATTTCATCAAAATCTGACACCTCATTTATTGTTGTATGAGCCCCAAATAAACTTCCTATCTACCCTTGATTAAAATGTTTTACAGATTCCTTTATTTAAATTCTTCTGCTCTTACTTTAGCAAGAACAAAACAAAAGTGTAATAGCTAACTTCATGTACAAATGAAGAGCATGGATGAAGGGATAGCTTCAGGAATCCTGTCATTTAGGCTGCATCAGAAGTAAATCAGTATTACCCTTAATTTCGATGACAATGTCAAGATGTTAATAGTAGTTCTGTAAAAGCACTGAAAGCACAAAAAAAATTTAACCGTTGGGACTTGCTTCATCCAGCTTTGACCACAAAGGACCACTTCTCAGGCTTTTGGCTAAAATCGAGTGTGGTGTACAGATCATTCTATGTTCGAAAGATAAATGCCTCTGAAGTTAGCACTATAGGAGAAGACAGAAAAAACTTCCTTTCAAATATCAATATAAACACACATGAGATCCCTGGTCTTTTATTTTTCATATGAAAACTTTACAAATGACCCATTATCAAACACTACTAAAGTTCAGAGCACTCAGTGCAAGTGTGGGATGGAAAAATTTATTCCAGAAAACAATTATTAAAAAAATAATCACATCTATGTAGAAGATGGTTATGAACAATATGAAACTCTTAGAACACTTTGTAAGTGTTCATAGGATCCCCAAAAGTCAAATATGAGATATACAGCTTTAATACATCTTCAGTAAGTGGGTAATTCAGTAGTTTAAGATGCTAAAAGAGGCA